TTTTTTTTTTTTTTTTTCTAATTGGGGCATTTCATGTCCAGCAATTTTATTTGGTTTGCTTTGGGAAGCAACATAACTGAATGGTTTTCCTTTTGAAGGCAATGAGAGGCCTGACCGCAGATACCAGTCCAGTTACCAGCATGTGGTTTTTCAGTTTCATGCCCTGACATTCCAAGCGAGCAACATGGTCGGTCAGCTCTTCGTGTCCCGTCACTGAAACCTACTAGAAGCATGTTGGAAAATGACCTTCTTGGCGTTTTCAGTCCATCATTTTCATATTTTTATTCTTAACTGTGTCCTTCTCATAGTTTTGTAATTGAAATAAGTGGATCCAAAGTTCTACGGTTCATAAAATCCAGTGGCATCAAGTCAAGTACAGTAGAGCCTTGCTAATGATCAGCAGTGTCTTTTTCTTTCTTGTCACAGCTCCAGTTGCAGCAGTTACCATGTGCACAATTTAAAAACACAGTCAAATGCTTTAAATTGAATGTTATCAATTTCTAACATGAGCACTTTCATCTGTTTTTTAATTTTTCTTCTTGCATGCCCCATTCACTCTGCTCTCAGATCATGGAAAACATATTTCATGATCACAGAGAAGCAAAGCTTTTAATGTTGAGATGAAAAAATAAATATTTCAGGATCACAAGAAACAAACCAAGGGAAATTATTACATCCATGTGCTCTATCTGACTTCTCCAACTTTCTTGGTTCATAGAAAGTGCTGTACACAGTCATTTTCCCGCATCAGTTTTCAAATAATTCAGTTATAATTGTAATTATTTAATTCATGAAATAATATTATATATATATTATATATAATTTTCTGCAGGTTGAAGGTAAACTTTGGGCCATGAAGTGAAGAGACATGAGGTTGCAGCCAGGGAGGTAGTTGATTCAAGTCTTAGATTGAGAAATTCAGGGCAGTATTGTTTCCAGTTCAATTCTGATACCTAACAAGACGCTCGTAGATACATGACAACTGAACCAAACCAAGCCCGGTTTTAGAGTCAGTTAAGAAGAGAATGGTCACTCAGCCAAGAGCTCCATTTTAACTGTCACAATCGTAATTATAACACCTCATCAATGGCGGCTCCACCTATGAGTGGTCAGTAGAGGTCATCTGTCCAGTGTGTGGTCTCAGTCGTCATGCTGGCAGCCAAGGTCTATTCACATACATCCAACCATGACCTGCTTCCACCACGCTCTGTCTTTCCTCAAGATCCCAGAAAACATGTCAAACTAAACACTGGTGCTACTCTGGTATGTTTCACTTGCCTCCCAGCACTGACTGCTGCAGCAGTTTGATGTGTGATTTGTCTAAGTTGTATTTTAGCACACAAAAACCAAACCAGGCTCAACATTATCTTCAGTTTGGCCCTGTCAGTAAATATATATTGTTGTGAGGGCAAGTGTGAATATGAGGACACAAGGTTATAAAACAATGCAAGTGCAACAACCTGTTAAGTGTGTTTATTGGTGGTTTCACAGTACATAACAGTTTACTGTGTATTGTCACACAAACTTTACATTACAGATACTCTGGTCGCTATTTATGTGCTGCAAGAGCGCCACGTAATGTACTATGAAATGGGGTTAAATAGTCTTAAAATGCAACTTTATGGCAACGATTTAAATTTCAAGTGTGTAAGTTTTTTTTATGTGTGTAATTTGAGTGTCAGTAAATGCTGTTAAGATGATCCATGGAGTTACAGCCTGCACTACAGAAGTGAATGTTTGTTGTTCTTGCTTTTGCAGATTGTGAGCCCTATTGTAAACCAGTGAAGGGCAACCTGAAGATCAACATGAAGAAATATTGCAAAAAGGATTATGGTAAGAGAGTAGAATAATTAACCATAATTAATAAATGTACTGTTTTGTTGTACTTTTTTGAGTGTTGACCCGAGTATTGTATGTATTTTTTTATCGTATTGTATTTTCCCCAGCGGTCCAAGTGAACGTGCTGGACATGGAGACGGTGGGGGACTGGGCCAAGTTCTCTGTTAACGTGGTGTCTGTGTACAAGAGCCGCGGCGAGCCCTTGAAGCGAGGCGACAACGTCCTGTGGGTACACATGAAGGACCTGGCCTGCAAATGCCCCAAAATCCAGATGAGCAAACGATTCTTGGTGATGGGCGGCGACAGTGGAACAGGCACAGGAGCAGGTCCGGGAGTAGGGCCTGGGGCTGGAGCCACCAGTCCAGGGGCGGAGCGCTTGGGCCTAATAGCTGATAAGAACAGCCTGGTGATCCAATGGAGGGACGTTTGGACGAGACGCCTGAGGAAGTTCCAGCGCAAAGAGAAGAAGGGGAAGTGCAGCAAAGCGTGATGGGAAAGCAGACTTCATCCCTACCTCTCCCTCCATCGCCCGCCTTCATGAACCCTTACCCAGTGATCTCCCTCTCCCTCCCCCTGAATCCTTTGTCTTCGCCCATCACGGGACCACTGCACATTAGAAAGACTGCATGTACCCTACCTGTTTTAAGGACCATGTTTTGTGTATATTGTATAATTATTTTCCTTTTTATTTTTCAAGTTTTGTCCTTGTTACGTCAGTTGTTGTTATTTGTGTCCGATTGGTTTGCCTTAAAAAGGGACCATTAAAAAGGGTATGAAGTGTAAACAAAAGCAGACGCCATTCCCTCCCTCG